ATGAAGAGAATATTTATTCTTAGGTGTTGTTTCTTTTTTACAATGTGCTTCCATTAATAACTTTTTTTTAAAAGCAGGGTTCCGCTTTACTGTAGATTGGTTTATTGGAACAGGGTTAGAATTTGGTCAGCCAGAAAAGAGTTCACAAAAAAGGCCATAAATGAAAAGAAAATTTTGATCAACTTTTAAACAAATATTATACCAGATGCTATGCTTTCGGCCTTTGCCAATGCCTCTTTGATCTTTGCTCTGCCAGTCATTTCCCCCTCTTCTACTGCTTTGAATATGGAGGTTTTGTGAAACCTGTTTTTTTGCTTATCTTTTGGGTGAAGCCTTTGTGTTGCCAAGAAACAAGGAGCCGGGGAAAAAAACAACTGACTATCCAGTAATGGGCCTTGTATTGGATTGATGGACTCTTTTCTAGAGGCTATTTGATCAAATGAAAATTTGTGTACTACAGCTATATTAGTGGCAGTAAGGGACAATGGGGCTAAAGCTTGCTTGCAGTAGAGTGACCAGACAGCAAGTGTGAAAAATTGGGACAGGTGGTGGGCGGGTAATAGGAGCCTATATAAGAAAAAGATCCAAAAATCAGGACTGTCCCTATAAAATTGGGACATCTGGTCATCCTAGCTTGCAGTCATGAAGAAATAAGGGACGTAGAAAGGCCTCTATTGTAAGTGAAGGAGAGGGTTCCTTGCTTTGTTACTTTATGCATGTTTATACAGAAGGTAAAGAAGACATTATCTGAAACAATGAGCAGATGGAAAAATTGATAAACTTGAAGGTAGTTTAGAAATTAGAGAGAAACCATAGTAGAATCTAGGGAGACTGTAGAATCTCAGTTTGCAAAGACAAAGATTCTAATTTTTCCCTCATTGTAAAAATGGTTATTAGAAATAACATCCAGGTGAAGAAGAAATATTAAAATGTGGAAATTACTTGGAGATTTTGGAAAAAGTTCTAAGAACCTATACTTTCACAAATTTCCTAAGAGTCTGAGTGAAGCTTCTCAGAAGAACTCTTAAAGACATTTACCTGATGTCTTAGGAATTGTTCAAAGAAATTTCCCTCTCTAAGCAAAGGTTTATTTTTTAATCCTATACATTGAGAGTGAAACCATGTGTGGATCTGGATGAGGATTGCGTTGCAAAGATGATGGAGGCTGTCCCAGCTGCTTTCTATATTACTAAGACATCTAGCTCAGAACAGACCTCAAGGGGTATTCTCCTTGTAACCTTTGCCCTATCTAATTATAGAGATTGGGGTTTGAAACTGAGATTGTCAATGTAGACATATATTATTTTATGGTAATAAAATCTTTATAATCCCAGATGTTTCAGATCTCGTGAAGCTACATGTTTGCAATTCCTCATCTATAAGTAGAAGATTTAGACTTAAAAGCTGTTCTTTCCTTTGGTTTCTCTGTAAATGCTGGGTGGAATAGTGTATATGTATAATACATGATGGTGTGGTATAAAGATTTCATTGGCATGTGTTTGAGGGTTGCAACACACCAAGACCACCCTGTTTCCTTAGGAATTTAAGCCTTTCAGTGATGCAAAACCAGTTTGCATATTGTGCATTTCAGAACAGAGTAATTTTGGGACAAAGAAGAAAACATTCTTGTGGCAGGTAGATTTTTAAAAAGCTCCTTCTTAAAACTCTTCAGAGATTTGGCATGTTAAAAGTAGTTCCAGGGAGGCAGATTCATTTATTTATTCATTGAATTCTTTTCTATTCTAGATATTTATTTAGATTTTTAAAACATATGAAGGTGTGCATCCCTTGGACCGAACTCACAATTATATCGGAAGAGGCTGCCTTGCCTCATTGACAAATAAAACATCAAACAATAAGACCATTTCACTGTAAGCAATGGTAATCAAGCTGCTCCAAGATTCAACTCACCCTACTCCCCAAATCCTGGGAAGTAGATGAACCTGGCTGTCTGCCTGAAAATTTTACAAATGTGGGTTATTTTGAGACAAGTTTTAGAGCAGATTCCAAAGTGGAACATCCCTCATGTAGAAAGCCAAGCCAACAGCTCCTTTTCATTTCTATTGATGGGCTCAAACTCAAGTAATCAGATGATGTCATTTGGGGCAGTATAGCCCAGGGTGTGAGGCTGTAATTCGGATGACCACCTCCCAGACTATTTAGGGTCTATAAGTTAAAACCAGCACCTTGATTTCTCAAACCGAAATGTATTGATGTTAGTGCTTATCCCAGAGTATTGATCTGAAACGCCACGTAGTAAGTGGGACACTTCATTTTGCACTAGCTTTAGTTTTCAAGTGGTCTCAAAATGTACCTCATTACAATAGTGGTAATCTTGAAGACAAAGCAATAGATAACTGTGGCAAGATCTGTCTCTGAAAGGAAAAAAAAAAACCCTGTTCATTAAGTGCAAATAAAAGAAAGTGATCTTGTCCATGGCTACTATCGGGACATCAATGGGCAACTATTTGGGATCTAATAAGATACTCAAATTGTGCACTGGTTACAAATGGCTGTCACTCTCTCACTTATGGGTGTTGATAGATTTGTCATCTCTTCCAGTTGCTTCCTCCAACCCACCAACATTAGTTGCATCTAATCTAGGCTAAGTCATAGCCCTCATCCAAGCCCCAAGCTCATATAGACTCAGAGTTATTCATTACACAATACTAGCCTGGTACGATATGATAGCGGCATAGTGCTGGGTGTCATAGAAAATACATCTCAGCTCATCTTTCCTCACTTTCCCCTTTCACCAGTCTCAAAAACAATTGAACGGGAACAGTGAAAAACAGATCCCTTTAGTGCCGCCCTAGTGGGTGAAGTGGTCAAATGTGCATAACGGTGCTGCATTTATCTCCTTGCTGTCATGTGTGTGTGTGTGGATGTATGTATGTATAAAATAGCATAAGGTAAAGGAGACTCAACCATGAGATTTAGGTAAAGGAACTGGATGTGACCCTGTTCATACTATATGATTAATGTCTACGATGCTGTTAGGATATCTCCATTTATTTATATTTATCTCCTACAACTGGAAGGGACCTTGAAAGGTCATCGAGTCCAGCCCCCTGCCTTCACTAGCAGGACCAAGTACTGATTTTGCCCCAGATCCCTAGGTGCCCCCCTCAAGGATTGAACTCACAACCCTGGGTTTAGCAGGCCAATGCTCAAACCACTGAGCTATCCTGTTGCTGTCCTGTAACCAATCTTAGAGCCTATTGGGGCAGTTCTCACCATTTGGGATTAATTTCACTCTACTTTTTATGAGCTGAGCTTTTTCCCTTAGTGTAGCTAACTGGGTATCTGCATCATTACTTGGCTTTGGTTAATATAGTGTTTGGACTTGAATGTCCTTGGGGTTCTCCATTTTATTTGGAAATGTACACTTTAAAATCTAGAACAAAAGCAACCAACACTTTTTGTTTGAAATAATTTATATTTATTGTTTCCTAAAATTCACTATATGGTCAGTTCCATGTTCACCTGAAAACATCTAGGGAACACCCCCATCTGTACTGCCAGTGTTGCACATTAAAAATAGTTTTCCTTCACCAAAGGCTAACAGCTGGTTGGATTTGTTTCCAGGCTGAAGATACATTGTATAGTATTTTTCCTTTTCACATAGTGAACTTTAATAGGTTGAGCTATCCTAGCTTTCCTTTGTAAATTAATTATGTTTTAATACTAATTATACTTTGCACTTCTATAGGGCCTTTCATGAAAACATCACAAAGCACTTTACAAAATTAAGTCTCACAACATCTCTGTTAAGTAGGTATCGTCTCTTTGCAGATGAGTAAACATACGAAGAAAGAGGTTAAGGGCCTGATTTTGAAGAAGTGCTGTACATTGATTTAAATGGTGGCTGCAGATGGTCGTCACCTCTGAAAAGCAACCCTTTGTAGGCAATATGTAATGTCGGTAGCTGAGATTAAAATGTGTCTTGGAAGTTGTGGCTCAAACCCCACTTTTAGCCATCAGACAATGCTTATTTCCTTTAAATTCAATCTACATATAGCATTGAAAATCTGTTTCTGGTGCATAAAATTACACTGAAATGATAGGAAATTATCTTGAAGAAAGCGATAGTAAGTTGCATAGATAGAGCCCTTAGGATTCTACACCTTTGTAATCTATATTTCAAACAAATATTAGTTATTTTTCTCACATTTCTGCAAGGTAATGCCATGCATAGATTTGTAGAAAATGGACAGTAGTGTCTGTAATGACAAAACACATCTAATATTAGTAAAATTCCATTTACTAGTGTCAGGTTTTCCTCTCAGGTTCTGCTTCTAGTTTTTTCCACTGACTACTGAAGAGGATAAAAATATCATTGTAGTTTACAGGAAAAGGAGCTGATATATAAAGCGAGCATACACCTAATTTTCTTTTCAGGGTCTGTGTAGTCCAGTATTTTACACTGGTGTTAAAAATGACATCACCCAATCAATCACATGCTAGAGCATCTACATTATTGGTATAATGCTGAACTAGCCCATACTATGCATACAACCCCACCTAATAAAATAAAAACGTGGCAATTTTTTTCATATAGAAATAACTGACATATTAAATTACAGTGTTCAAAGAAATAAAATAAATGTAATACTTTTGATTATGAGCCCTACAAGGATTTTGGTCAAACAGTGATTAACATCATGTGTGGTATAATCCTCGATGTTTGCAGTAGGTTAGGGACTATTGTATTACATTAGATTATGGGAATCAACCTGGGGAGTGTCTTATTGTAGAATATGCATTAAACAGAATCCTCTCTACACCAACCAAATTTATTGATTAACCCCATTGCCACATGGATTTTAAATTACCTGGACAAATGATAACTTATTTAATACTTTCTGTGACTTATGTTTATGGAAGACAAAGTTCACCAGGTCCTTCTAAAGAAAAACAAGAATGTGCCAAATGTAATTTTAGTGTGGAGTGTTAAGAATGGTAAAATTATATCTAACAAAAGTTTGTGATTTTTGCAGATAATAGCTCTAGCAGATGCGGCAGAGGAAAACCAGGCCAATATGTTCCAGGCATTCACAAAGTTGAAAAGTGCCACCCAGCTGGTGATTATGCTGATTAGTCTGTGGCAGAAACTCAGTACTGACCAAGTTGCTATTCTGGAAGCTACTTTTTTGCCATTAATGCAGGATACCCAAGAGCTGGTAAGGATCTGTGAGATTTACTGAAAATCTGGAATTGTGGAAAAGTACGAACTGATCAATTAACTTGGTTTTCCCAATGTGTTCTGCAAATGGCTGTTCCTTTTAATGGAATGTAATATTTCCCGTCCCACTATACTGTATTGAAAAAACTTTATTTAGAAGGATTGTTTTAAGATTTGGTTGAGTCTACTTTAAATCCATTCTTCCTCATCAGCTGCGGGGAAGCCTTCCATTTGTACATCTCAAGGTTTTCATGCTACCAATTAACTTTCAAGTTAACCAGTCCTTGCTTGTCAATCCAAATGGAAATACTTAATAAATCTAAGCTGTATATACATCTGTTTAAATGCTGATAGCAATTGTGATAATAGTTTTGTAGTTTGTTGTCGTTTGAATGAGTTGTAATAGGCTTATCTACATTGTGGATTTGCTGCAGTTATAGTCATCAGTGTTTAGCCACCAGTGTAGCTGCACTGGAGCAAACCCCTACTGTAAACAGGCAAAGTTGCTGTATATTATGATTTACCCTGGTTTTAAGCTTGGGGTAAGCACCACTTGTACAAATTGCAGCTTTTTTAGACTGCATCAGCTACATCATTGGCTGTTACTAAGGCAAATCCTCAACCTAAACAAGGCCCTAGATTAAAATAGCACATCCTTAAAAACACACTTGGGAAATGGCATCTTGTTTTAAAAGACCTACTAAAAATCATGTTTGAAAATATTGACTATATAGACCATATTGCTTGCATAGTGTAGTCTATATTTCTGTTAATTTTTCCTTTGAGCCTTTGCCTGAAAACAATCTTTGTAGTAACTTCCACAGCAGTCAATTATGACATCACAGACAGGATTTAGGATTATGATTTCATGTAGAGAATAAACAGGATAAGGTGAACTCTTGAAAAGAATGTCATAAAGAAAGCGTTATTAGTGACAAATGGAGAAGAAGAGCAGATGAATTTTCAAGGAACAAAGATTCTGTTAATGGTAATATTCAATATCTTATTAATAAAGCACAGGAAAAATATTTCCTCTTACAAGCTAATAATTATAAGTGCTTTACATTTTCAAAGCCTTTCACCAGTATCTGATTATTCCTCATAGCACCCTAAAAGATAGGTAAATAGATGAAAAGACTGAAAACATGGATGTTAAGTATCTTTTTCAAGGCCACATAGAGCCTTAAACAATTGTGTCTTGAGGCCTGTTTGTGATTCATTACTCTGTGTCAGCAACTTTTGTCAGGTTTGACATACTCACTACACCGCTTACACTGGCGCCGTGATATTTATTTAAAAGGTGATGTAATATATTGTTTGAACTGGTGGTCATTACTGCCACTGTGAAATGTTTGTTACTGTTCTACAGGTAAATTATGGATATTCTCTGATAATATGTCCTGTAAACAGACAAAAGTGGCAAAACCCTCCTGCAATTTTGTAATGGGGTTAGGTGTATGGGTACATTGCTGAGTCAGAGCTGCTTAACCCATTGACAGCACGGATTGGTATGCTGGTGGGCAGTGTTCTGATCTGAGAACCACAGCAGCCGAGCTTTTTGAGGCACTAAGGGTTACAGAGCAGGCAGTGACATAACCCATCACTGTCGTGTTCTGGATTGCACCCCAGAACGTGACAATATTATCCTGTGCTTTATTAATAAGAAAAATATATGGCACAATTTGTTTATATAATAGATATGAGTTACAAGACACAATCTTATTGAACAGTAAAATTCTCACATCCTGTCCATACTGTGAATACATCATCCGTGTGCAGATCTCTACCGTATTCTGTACTTGTTTAATGTGTATAACTATCTGAGTGTTCTATGGTGGTGTGTAAACATACAGACCATGCACTAGAGAAGCACATTGCCATTAAGAAATCCATCCTACAGTTTGAAGAGAAGTTTGACACACATCTCTTTTTGAAATGCACACAGTATTGTACAACTCCTGTCAGAATTGAATGAGGAAATATATGTAATGAAAACAAAATGGAAAACTAAAAAAAAAAAAATACTAAAAATCCATTTTAATATTCAATTGCATACTCTTAATTCACAATCACGTTATAAATAGCTGTGCTGATCTATTACAATGTAAACTTAATCCAGGTTTCATTACATATCCAAAATTTTGGGTTGGTCAGTAGCCATTTTAGAAAGTTTGGGCTAAGTTCCAAATGCACCTAGGAATACCCATTGTTTCAACTAGAAAACAAGTGAAACATGGTGTTTCACATGGTTTTTACCCCAAACTTGGGGAAACAGTGGGTATTTGGGCTTTGGTGTTTGGGCTTACTGAAATCTGAAACTTAAAGTGAAAAAGTCAGGGGTGTAAATTCACATGAACTAAATCAGCAAAAGGTTCATTTGAGTCCCCTGAAAGTGGAAACTATCACTTTGTTTTAAAAGACCTACTAAAAATCATGTTTGAAAATATTGACTATATAGACCATATTGCTTGCATAGTGTAGTCTATATTTCTGTTAATTTTTTGCATGGCTCACTTTTATTGTTCCATTAGGGCTTATACTACTGTATTGCTTTGACAGATTTTCTGGTACAACATGGGAAAATCTGTTACATATCTTAAAATAAAAGATACCACTTTCATATCTATCTCGATGTGGTTTTGATATAGTAGTTCACAATTTTCCATGTTAAGATGCAAGACCTCACATATAAATGTTGTGGGGATGTGAATCCTGCAGAGAGGCTGGGATGACAAATGTAAACCTGAAATAATGGGTTGGAAATTTAAAAGAAGCCTTTACCCAACTATTGAAATACATCCCATATTGTAGTTATTATGGTACCGCAAAAATCTGAATGTAATTTAAAGAGAAGTTTAGATGGGGGGAGGGAAGCTTCTGACATACCAATGGTATTTACAGACAGAAGCTCCCAGCTAGTGTTCAGGTTTCCCCACAAGCAATTGAGTGGAATGTGGTGAAAGAAAGTACTCTGAAGAATTTTTATTTACTCTTCAAACAATTCTGCACAATGGTTTGTTGTATTTTTATTTGGGTGGAATGTGTTAGAAGATAGTTTGGATACAATATACCTCTCTAGAATATTTTCTGATTCATGAACATTAAACTCAGAAAGTGCTTTTTTAATAAAAGTAAATGTTTAGAACATACTGTTACTGTAAAAAAAATGTTCTTCTAACCATAACGTCAACATTATTCTCATACATGCCATTCCATTTAGAAGAGATTGCTTCTTGTTTTCTGGACCTGCCAGGCACTTCATTTAGACACTTAGCATAAAAGTAATTCAGTGTTTTGAGTTCCCATTAGTAGTAAATAGCTTCTCAGACTAGTAAACAGTTCCTGCTGTAGACTATATCATGGTTTACATACTCTTAATGAAGTAAAGTCTGGTTTTGCCACCTACAAAGATATGTCAAAATAAAAAGAATAGTGCATTCTTTCAAAATAAATTTCCTGAAAACAAAGGTTGTGCTTTTTCCTTGTGTTTTGGTAACCAGAGGGTCATAGAATCATAGAATATCATGGTTGGAAGGGACCTCAGGAGGTCATCTAGTCCAACCCCCTGCTCAAAGCAGGACCAATCCCCAACTAAATCATCCCAGCCAGGGCTTTGTCAAGCCTGCCCTTAAAAACCTCTAAGGAAGGAGATTCCACCACCTCCCCAGGTAACCCATTCCAGTGCTTCAAACGTTTTTCCTAATATCCAACCTAAACCTCCCCCACTGCAACTTGAGACCATTACTCCTTGTTCTGTCATCTGGTACCACCGAGAACAGTCTAGATCCATCCTCTTTGGAACCCCCTTTCAGGTAGTTGAAAGCAGCTATCAAATCCCCCCTCATTCTTCTGCAGACTAAATAATCCCAGTTTCCTCAGCCTCTCTTCATAAGTCATGTGCTCCAGCCCCCTAATCATTTTTGTTGCCCTCCGCTGGACTCTTTCCAAATTTTCCACATCTTTCTCGTAGTGTGGGGCCCAAAACTGGACACAGTACTCCAGATGAGGCCTCACCAATGTCGAATATTGGGGAGTGATCACGTCCCTCGATCTGCTGGCAATGCCCCTACTTATACAGCCCAAAATGCCGTTAGCCTTCTTGGCAACAAGGGCACACTGTTGACTCATATCCAGCTTCTCGTCCACTGTAACCCCTAGGTCCTTTTCTGCAGAACTGCTCCCTAGCCATTTGGTCCCCAGTCTGTAGCAGTGCATGGGATTCTTCTGTCCTAAGTGCAGGACTCTGCACTTGTCCTTGTTGAACCTTGTCAGATTTCTTTTGGCCCAATCCTCTAATTTGTCTAGGTTTCTCTGTATCCTATCTCTACCTTCCAGCGTATCTACCACTCCTCCCAGTTTAGTGTCATCTGCAAACTTGCTGAGGGTACATGCCATCCTCCAGATCATTAATGAAGATATTGAATAAAACCGGCCCCAGGACTGGTCCTGATCTCTGAAAATACCTCTCTTTTCCCCTTCTCAATCCCTAGGTGCTGTGGGCAGGTCTATATTACCACATAAGTCGATCTAAATTACGTCACTCAGGGGTGTGAAAAAGGCCCCCCTGAGCGACGCAAGTTTCATGCTGTACACACCAGCGCTATGTCAGCGGGAGACAATCTCCTGCCGACATAGCTTACATTCTCTCCAAGGTGGAGTAATTATGCTGATAGGAGAACTCTCTCCCATCGGCATAGTGCGTCTTCACCAAACGTGCTACAGCGGTGTAGCTGCATTGGTGAAGCAGCGCCGATGTAGCACTGTAGCATTGACTTTCCCTGTATCATGGCTATCATTATACTTTTAGCTAACTTTATATACTAATACTAAAACTCCAGCCAAGGAGGGCTAAGTGAGATTCTCTTGGACATCTTAGTTGAGTGGAAGGGTCACTCTCGTTTGATACTAGTAAAGCAAAACTTTTCTCTGTGATTGCTTCTTTTATTCCATACAACTCCTGACATCTGCTTAGTCCAAGGAGCATAACATCAGGAACTG